CGTCACCGTGCTACCTGCGCTGTCACCATCGCACAGTCACTGTTGTTGCCGATCTTTCATGTCTGCACGCGCGTGGGCTTGCCCCGCCCGCCCATTGCCGTCACATCCATGCTCGCTGCGTTGCTGCACTGCCGCCTTCCCCAGTCCGGTGCCAGCCACTACAGCGCACATGGCCGAGCCACCGTCGGCTTGTATTTGTTGCAATGCGGCCAACCGTTCCTGAGCACGTTTCATTGATCCGCCAACAGCCTGTAGCACGTGCGCGCTTGAACTATGAGTGGACAGCCACGTCCTGCCATGGCAACGACGAGCCAAGCCATGTCTGCTATTTCCCCTGTTTCCTCTACCGCCATGGTCGCCGAACCCGTACCTTCAATTCGGCATGGTGGAGTCACCTCGGTCCAATTAACCTTGCCCACGGCTTCGCTATGTAGTCAGCCAGCCACCCGACCCCATCTTGTAGTGATCCTTGCCGTGCCATGCTCCAATTTGGAGCTTTCTTCCCGCCGAGTCGATAAGACCGTATCGGCATGAGGCGGCGGCAAAGCCCCACTCCAGAGCTGCTTGCATTCGATCGGTTGCACCGCCAGCCTCACCTCCACCTACCCATCACCTGGAGCACCTTTGCCGAGTTGCTACCACCTCCTAGACGCCCCTGATGCGGTCTTGCCGCCGCGGTGCACCACCGCACCGTCCGTGCGCACGCGGCCAGTTTGGCTCAGGCCGCCTCCGGCTGAACCACCACCTTGGCTGGGTTCGTGGTGAGTTCCTTGAGCTCGCGCTATCCCTACTGCTCCGGCGTTGTTGTAGCTAATCGAAACGTCACCACTTTTGCTGCAGGAGCTCCGCTATCGTGGTCTGGTTTTACTACGGCGCCCCGGATTGTGTTTTCATCGCCCATCATTTCGCGTTCACGCCTAGGCAAGTACCGGCTCCTTAGATAGGGCTGGGTGGGTCCTGGTTGCCCGGTGGGGGTCGTCGGTGCCATCAGCCACCGCGCAGGGACCCCCTGATGTGAAGACAGAGTGTTGCAAGGGCCGTCTTGCGTAGTGGCAGACTGAAGGAATAGTGAGCTTAGTGCTCGCGCTATACCGGGTAGCCTAAGGGCGTTTTCGCAAAATAACTGGCGCGCGCGGGCCTCCCCGTTGCGGGCCGTCGCCGCGCTGTTGGGCCACGCTGGTGGGTTGCGTGTGCACGCGCGCGAGAGTGGGCCGAGCCGCTCGCGCGATGGCCGCGCGGGTGGATTTGGTTTTTCATTTCCAGGGAATTAGTAAATGTTTATTCAATTTAGTTTTGAGATGATCTTTGAAAAATTATATTAAATGTTGTAGGTGTCCAAAAATAATGAAACAAATTTGTTAGGTTCACAAAAATGTTATCTATCTATTGGTGTAGTTAGTTTATAGTTATCTGTGATAGTGATAGATTCATTAATTCATTTAGGAAAGCTTATTATTATTTAGCTTAATATTTGTTGGAATTTTTGTGGCAAATTGATGATAAATTTAGCCCTGAAATGTTTACAGTAGGTTCATTAGATTATTGTGTGCTCACTAAAATTTTTGTAGCCTTAGAATATGTTGATAAATAGAATAGCTAGTACTCCTTATTTTACCATATATAGAGTAAATCGATATTAAGAATAAGGATTCCTTTAATTGCTAAGTTAATACATGAAATGTTTCATACCTATTTAGTGGGAATGATAGGTAACGTAGCGTCTTAGTCTGTAGAGCTAGTTTAGTAGCTTGACAGATGTATTTTATGTTAAGAGTTGCGGTTGCCGTATTACTAAGTGTTGCATCATCATTTAATGCATGTAGATAATGAGTTGGTAGAGTTCATGCCTATGGGTGAACAGGAATACGAGGAGATCATCGAGGAGTACGAGGAGAAGATTCTCGTACAGGAGGGAGCCCCAGAGCCATCTATTGCTGACTTTGTTGACACCCCGCCTGCTCAAGGCAAGCCCCAGTGCATAACCCTTATTTTGAATGATCATTGAATATATATATGATGTGCATTTATATTACATGCATTTTATGGAAACTATATGCATAGATATACTTACCTATGAGTTCTACTAATATAGGTCGAGTAGTTGTTATGCTCAGGATTTCAGTAGCGTGAGTAACCTATCGTTACTCACAATAGGTGATTATTATCACTCATGATAAAATGGTGGAAAGGAAAATGGAGACCGGACAAGGATATGGTTTAGGTATTGGTGGGTGTATGAGGTTGTGTCCTGTGGCCAACAGGGCATAGCTTGGTTATATTTTTCCCTGTCTGTATTGGTTAAGGACCGACCGTTGCATTGGGTTCTAAGCAAGTCACAGATTTATTATCCTGAGCACATACTTGGGTATGAACGTAGGGAAGACTTGTTGCTCTCTTATCGTGGGTTCCGGCTATTTCCGGACCGACCGATTGAAGACGGAGATGGTGGAGGTCTAAGCACCGCAGTGAGTCTGGGACTTAGGAGCGGGGTTTGGAGTCCAAGTTTGGACGGGGACCTAGACCCCGTCATAGGAGAGTGATGGGTTGGTCCTACTTGTGCCTGGGGTACAAGCGGGGCGTGTGTTTCGGGGTACCCAGTTGAGCACATTGATTCACGAATCGTCAGCGTTCTGGTACGGCTTGTCTACAGTCTAGCACCGTAGTAAAAACTGAAAGATAAAAGGTGACGAATGGAACTGTTTGCTCAACTCTTGCTTGAAAGTAGAACATGTGTTTACATAGAATGGCTAGATAATGAATTAATCATGACTGCTAATAATAACATAAATAAGGATTCACTATTAGTATTGCTTTCTGCAAAAAGAAAACCCAGCAAATCATAAAGCTTATCATTATCCCTTAGAGTCGAGAAATTATTTTCACTACTCGGATAAGTCTTGCGAGTACATTGTGTACTTAGGGTTTATTTACCCCTGTTGCAGGTGCAGCTTGAGGAGTAGCCGTTGTGTGAAGGATTCTTCTGGTGGGCACAGATGGATCCTTGTTTATTATCGATAGATGTTTATTTTCATTCCCCTATTTAATATTCTGCACTCTAAATTTGGTAATATAATAATGTATTTTAAGAACTCTGGATGTATGAAATGGACTCAGTATTGTAACTCGTTCTCATTATTGGATCCTGCGGGGGAAAATATGGATCATTCGGGCCCTCCCTTGGGGTGTGCCCGACGGAACCCGCCCGATGTAGCTCGCTTTCGAGGTGTTTAGTGTCTGGTGGAAGACGAGCACCTCCGAAGGTGTGTTATTTCTAGCGGTTCTGCCACACGCCTCGATCGAGAAGCAGCTTCCGCAAGCCCGGAAGATCCCAGCAGAGCTGCATGGCAGATGTTTCAACTGTCTTTCCTACTCGCGCCGAGTAGCGACCCGCCGGTTGCCATGGCATTGTCTGCGCTGTCACGGCTACCGTCACCTCGCTAGGGACTGCAAGTGGCCTAGGTGTGCTGCGGCGATGGCATCGAAAGCAGGGGGTGGCGGCTCATGGCCCTCCTGGCACGCGCCACATGGTGGCTCGGACGGAGCCGCGCAGGTGGCGGTGAGGGGCACCAACGGCTCCCATCGACGACAACGGCGGCATCGGAGCAAGCTATCGAGGGAGATCAACATTCCCGTGACTAACAACGTCGCTTCTTCTACTGCCGCACGCTGCTCCCACGAGTCTGATCCGCTCGCAATGGCGTTGTGCGAGGGCGCTAGTCCTCTCGTATGGATCGACCCAATGCTCGACGAGCTCGCTGCCTCGCTTGTCGTGAGTCGATCAGCGGGTGCTCCAACGTTTGGGCGCCCGTCTACTCCGACAGCGGCCTCTCTGGAGGTTTAGGCATCGTTGGCGGATACCCGTTCGTCACCACGGATGGTTCAGCTCAGCTTCGCGGATGTTAAGGCGTCGGGGGTGGATGGTGATGATCGGCAACCGGACGCAGACAACGTTTCTCCTTCGTCCCTTGCTAGGGAGTTTGCTAGACGCGTCTCTGCCCCGCTGAAGACTCCCATCCTCAAGGCGCCACCACGACGTTGAGCCTGTCGCTCTCCATCGTTGGTCGCCATCTGCCGTAGCACGCGTGTGTCGGCAAATTGTGCCTCTCGGGCCCCTAACGCCACCCTTTGAGCGCAGAAGGTGCTTGTATCCAAGTGGAAACCCACCGTCTCACAGTCATCGGATACTCAGGTAGTGGCAGACTTCCTGCAGACATTCCAGGGCCCGCTCGACTCCACAAAAATCGAGCGCTTATGAAGTTTGACGTGGCGAGGTTCGAGTGTATGTTCGAGGAGGCTTGCTAGTCTCGTTGGTACCTACCCAATTGGTTGCGCAACGTTCATGTAATGTAATTTAAATTAGGTTTATTTAGGTAGTGTTGGCTTCCATTCTTCCACGGTATTTTATGGATTATTTGAGGATGTTCTAACCAGTCAAACTTTATTTCTGCTTAATGAAATACGTGTCGCAAGGACACGCTCGCGCGAAAAAAAAGTACGGGAGGGAGAACGTGTCCACTCCTAAAGTCCTAATATCTAGTATTCTAGTAGGGGGTGACTATATTCTGCAAGAGTAATTTTGTATTTTCGTGACAGTAATTCCGATCGTTTGAGACAGGACACATTGCGAGTATAAGTGCTACCAGGCATATGCAGGGACGTACAAATAGGAAAAGCATTACGAAATTATTATACTGTACTTTGATGGCTATATACACCAACATAATTGTAATGAATAAACGATCAAGACATGTAGTACAAATGTATTGATCATCACTTACAGTTGAGTGGTGGTTAAAATATAAAATAAAAAAGAAGACTGGACAGGTAATCGATCGGGTGATGATATGATTTCATCCAATGCAACTACTCTGTGTTTACTAGTAGTATTTGCTCATAAAAGAATGAAAGAACAAGTTACTCCTCTCTCTCCCTCTGTCTTCGTTGGCAAGCTAGGCCTGCAGCTGGATTCGACTAGAGAGTAGAGCTGAAGGGCAAAGCGGTCAGCTGATGAGCTCCTGTATGGCCTGCATGGTGGCGGGCGAGAAGAGGAAGCTGCCCGGGGAGAGAAGGAAACCACCAGCACCGCCCGGCGGCGAAGGCAGCACCGGCGGCGTGTGGTGATGATCATCAAGCGGCAGCGGCGGCGGGGGCGGGACCTGCTGCTGCCCGAGCGTGAGCACCAGCGGGTCCTGCTGCGACTGCGACGACGGCACCTTCGACCGAAGCACGGCCTCCTGACCCTGATCGCCGCCGCCCGCGGTCCCGGCCGGTTGCCGGCCGGTGAGCCTCTGCACGAGGGCCTTGAACTCGTCCGGGCGCGCGTGGATGACCTTGGGCGTGTGCTCGTACAGGATCACTGGCCCCGGCGCCGCAGCCGGCGGCGGTCCACCGACGCCGCCATCGTCAACGGCAACGCGGGGTCTCTTGGCCTGCCGGGGCGGCGGCGACGACGACGACGTGGTGCCCGGCAGGCTCAGCGGCAGCGGCCTCGGGCCCTGCAGGCTGCTGACGACCCCTCTCTTGGCCTTCGCCGCCGCCGACGACGACGACATGGTCGTGTTGTGTTGCATCATCATTGGCCGATCGATCGATGGTGAGAGTAGGAGGTTTGCTGGCGAGCTTCGATCCAAATTAATGGCGATGGCGATGGCGGATGGTCGTCGAACGAAGCAAGAACTCTGCTGCTGGAGCCTGGAACTGGAAGGCGTTTGAGGCTACAAGTTGTATATATATACTCTAGTGGCTAATCAGCAATCACACACCACCAAACCGTCAAGAAAAGTACGCGCGTTGAATGAATATACGCTTTTGCCGTCACGAAAAGGTCAGAGGCGGATAAAATACTGCCCCGGCCGGACGACGCCGAAGGCCGAAGCTGCATGCCGCGCGCAGCAGAAACCTTACGGCCCTGCTGCTGCCTGCAGGTTTCAGAGGAACACGTTTGGTGGCGGCGGCGGCGGCAGCAGCAGCGGCTTTACTCGCTCGTGCTTGCATCATTGCATGGCATTGTGTGTCTGCCTGCTGACGAGGGTGCATTTGCATGCGTATGGCTGCTAGCTGCTTCGTGGTGTGTTTGGGTCGTCAGACTCCGATCCGATCACAGTGCGTGTTGAAATTTGAAAACAAACGGGATTACTACTATTTGATTTGACCAAAGGAGGAAGGTCAGGCGATGGATCGAAGAGGAAGGTCACCACTCACCCTGACAATGGCGGCGAAGGGCCAAGTGGAGAGATTAGGGCCGGATTGAGGTGGCGACTTGGCGAGCCAGCAGATCTAGACAAGTTATGAGAGGAATTTGACGTAGGATTATATGTGGGGTAGCAATGTTGACAACAATAAAACAAAGATTTCTTTTTTCGCATACGCCGAAATAGTCTCTCTCTACTTTATCGGCGGCGCCTTTGACATTGGTTTCATCCAGATAATCAGATTGCATATATGCTGAAGAAAATAAAATAGGAGGAAAGCTAGTTAAATTTGTTAGAAGTACGTATGCTGCATTGGCCCCCTTTCCTCCCCCTCTCACCTTCTGTTTGAGGTCATGGTCTCATGGGAAGAGGGCGGCCGGGAAGGAAAAACCCAAGAAATCAAGGGGAAGGCTACAGGAAGAAGACAATAATGCAAGATACTAACAAACGCTAGATTGCATGTGATTAAACTATAAATTTCGAATGCGGGGAGGCCGGAGGCGATCAATCAAGCGAATAAACTATGCTCGCGCGCCTGCTGCCCGGCCGTGCGCGCGCGTTCGCATCTAGCTTTACGTATCGGATGATGCACGGAAGCTAAGGGATCGGAGTTTAGTATTAGGAAATTAAATAAAGTAATTAAATTAACCAGGGCAAGTAGGTGCAGATCGAACAAATGACTCTGCAAACAATAAACCGCCTGGGCTGCAGCCTGCGCGCAGGACCTAGCGACTATCCCGGCAGGTCAACCGATGCATGCATGCACCTGTTGAACCAAGGACACACAGGCGCCACTTGCATATATATATATATATATATATATATATATATAGACACACACATCATGATCGTTTTTACTTCTATATCTATATTAAAGTGGTAAAATTTCTCTCCATCCTTTTTTTTTCCATCCCTCCCCTAAAAAAAACTAATCCATGAACTGAGCGTTGCTCAGCTGGTTGGGTTCCTTGTGATGTAACATGTCCACCCGGGTTCACGTCGACTTGACACGGGTGCTCGTATTTTTCTGAATTTATTCCAGGATTTAACGGCATTATTCTTTCAATAGTAGACGACATGCCCGTCGACAGCGAGACGTCTATGGTGACTTTGTCAATCTCGAGATTTACCGGTCCAACTCTGTTCTTCGGAGGTACTCATAAGGGTAGGGTGTGCGTGCGTGCATTCATAGGGGTGAGTGTATACTCGTGTATGTGAGCGTCTACGTCTGTAACGGGGTCTCACAAAAAAAACTAATCCAAATAATCAGCCTTGAGATAATGTGAATATGCATTCTAATCAAATAGACTTCTATTTGCAAATATGAAGGCTTTTTGTACGTCCTGAGTAGCTTGAATTGGAATCCAAATCCAAATCTGTATAGAAAAGGATAACAATAAAATTGGGCAAATAGTCTTCAGTAGCTTGAATAGGAATCAAATCTAAATAGAAAATGATAAAAATAGAAATTTGACAAATATAAATTAAACGAAGCCAATTTTATATTTTATTATATCTCCACCATGAGGATTTTGGTCGTTGTTCGTCCATCTCACGTTCGTCTTCTCAGTTTTATTTGCGGCCCGTTTTATGTCCGTTTCGACAAGTTTATTTGCTTTAAAAAAAACCGTTTTATGTCCGTTTCGACAAGTTTATTTGCTTTCCAAAAAAAATGTGCACATGAAATCTACTCAAATTCACTCTAATCTACAACTGACGCGAGTTCGTATGGTCGCCCTAGACAGCAGGTACAAGTCGATTGGTGTACATCCGCATGCACCATCGAGATCCAAACAAACTCAACTTCAAAGTTACATATGGGTTAAATTAAATTTATTGCATGTCCATCTGACTACAAACCATTTAGAACACTTGACCATGTTTCGATCTATCCAAAAATAATTTAATCTATGTTTATATTTTTATATTATCTAAAAAGCATAGATTATATTATATTGGTACGTCACTCTCTCCCACATGTCTGTATAAGTTAGAGCAGCATACCTAACTAGCCATGATGCGGTGCGAAATATACAGTCCTTAAATGAATATGAACATATAATGTGATCGTTAGCGTACGTTGCTCATGTATGTACGTCTCCGAACTGTGAAGTTGTTCAAATTACCGTGTAATAATATATACATCCGTTGCAGCGTGCGGGCATGTTTGCTAGTAACAACAATAAGCAGGCATGAGTGGGCACGGAAAACCGCTGCTTAAACAAGAGTGCTTAGTTGGTAGCAAGCTATATATATTATATACGTGGCTACTACGTGCCCCAGCCGGTGATTATAGGGACGACGTTATGCATTACACATCTTGAACATAGGGGCCGGGAAACAACCCTGAGACTTGGTCTCGAGCAATAAACATTCGACTTTCGTGTGCGCCGTTGCCGTCGAGGCCCCAGGAGGCACGGAAAACCCCTGTTAGAGTATACATGCTATGGAAGTTAGGTTTTTATGTGTACTCGGCCCATGGGTGGGCCCGACCCTCTGCGACGCCCCACCATACCTCTAGGGTAGCTATGCCCCTCCGCGCAGAGAAGGACCGGGCAGTGAGGGGCAGGGACGAAGCCAGAAAAAAGTTTTAGGAGGGACTGAACAAAAGAATAGAGGATTTTTTTATCTTCTCTTAACCTTAGCCTCTCCTACTTAATACATATATGCATAAAATTTTAAAGAAGAGCTTAGGGGGGCTCCACCTACCCAGGATCGGTAGGGGGGGCTAGAGCCCCCCCCCCCCCTAGCCCCACCGCTGGCTCCGTCGCTGGTGAGGGGCTAGTGAGGATCTCGATGACGGCTAGGGCTTGTCGACGAGGAAAACAGTGACAGCAAGGAAGCAGCAGCTAAGGTTTATGGAAGTGACGAGAGGCTGCAGGGGGAGAGAACTGTCTCTTGATACCATGCATGAAAACGTGAGATGAGCGCCCTCGTGTTGCGGATGGCGGCATAGGTCTCTAATGGTGATTTATTAAGCATATTATTTTATATTTTAATAAAGAGAGAGAAATGATATCTCTTAATTAAGAACTAGTCTCATGCACATATTTCAGGATTATGTGAGGTTGTTGTCATATAGGGTTATTCATATTATGAGCTATGTACAAAGTTAATGCCACCAGAGAAGTTGTCTTAGAGCTTGTAACTATCTCATAGAATCTCATGATAATATAATATATTACTAGCTCAATATTTAGATCGACATAGACATCGATACGTAGATCTCGAGACGTACTTACTGTGCAGGTTTCTCTTGTTTGCCTAATACTAAAATAATATATTACTCCTAACTATTACAATTTGATGATTTAGCCATTCCTCATGAAGTGAAACGCTTCGCGTGGCAGATTCGGTGGGGGTGCTACGATCCTCCTTCATGCTTGCAAACCATGGACAAGCAGATTTTGGTTTGGGCATCGAGGAAACAGAAGGAGCTCAACCACACTAATTATCAATTCTCTCTACTATTACCTTAGTACATAAGTTAGGGATGATGGATTAGATCAACAAACATGCATGCACATTGTAAACAAACATGCATGTGCATTGTAATATATATATTTTATTGTATGGTCACCTAGACGATTTACGATTTGGAGACTTATTCAATAGTCGCATCATGTGTGTTCCGTCTACTGATCTATTAATTGGACCTTGTACCATGCCTAGATGATGTGCGTTGCTCTAATTCATAAGGCATAGGAGTTTTGAAGATATATCCAATAATCACATCACATATTCTAAGTTCATACTGAAATTGTACTCCGCATCGTACCTGGACATGATGCTTTAGCTCTTTTATAAGCACATGATTGAGTGATGGGCCATGAAAGTGCTTCATACTTCAATATCAGATAGAGATCAGATTGTATTACAGGGATTGGATTGGTGGAGGAGTCTTGATATGCTATCATACTTAATTAGCATTTAATATCAGATGGAGATCGGATTGTATTACGAACGGTCAGACTATATTTCATTTGGTAGAGCTTTGGTTGGATCTGGCTTCTCCGTGCAATATAGTAGCAAAGAGCTCCTTTTGTCCCTTCTCTCATAATAAATAAAAAATCTGTGAAGTCAATTTTTTTTATTACACCGGCTCTAGCTCCTCCACACCAAAGTAAAGAATCAAAGTTGTTTGAAGCCACACTTATTAATTTGATTAAACTTGTTTATAGTGAAGTGTAGACCAAATACCTCTTGATGTCAATATTCCTAACCTAAAATGGATGGAAAAAAAATTCTATGCATACCGTATGCACTCAGCTCCCGTGTATACACGCTCCCATCGACTGCAACGTGTCCACCTCGAGGGAATCAATGTTTGTCATTCGCTCCTCAACCGTTCTTCAGCCCAC